GGGCTGGAGGCAACCAATTGATGTGTGTGTCTCTCTCTCCCTCTCCCTCCTTCCCTCCCTTCCTCCCTCCCTTCCTCCCTCCCTCTACTCTCTCCGAAAAGCAATGGAAAAAAATATCCTCCAGTGAGGATTAAAAAACAAAAACAAAAACAAAAACAAAGCCCTGCTGTGATGAGGACATATGTTGTGCAAGTTGTGCAGAACACAAACTGCTTCATCCTAGATGGTGGCCCTGTACATGATTGTGTGCAAATTTATTCAGATATTACTGAGAATAAAGTCTTAAAAGGAGAGTTGCTTATCTAAAGGATATATACAACATAAAGCTAATCCCAGCATAAAAATTATAAGCAATGGAGATGTCCAACAATTGTGGTGGGTAAATAAAATTATATTGTAAATATATGATGGAATACTATGCAGCCATTTAAGTTTATACCACAAAAGAATAATTATTGAAATGGGAATATGTTCACAAGATCTTATTAATGAGAAGACAGGTCACATGAATGTATATAGTATTAAAATTTTGTAGAAAGGAAGCTATAAAAACGCCCTCAGAAAAATAACCCCCCCCAAAAAAATTAAAATGTTCATAGTAAATGTCCCAAAAGGAAAATGTATAAATTGTGATATATTTACACAATGGAATATTATACAGCAGTGAAATGAATACACTACAGCTAAACAATAATAATATGAATGGATTTTACTTCTATAATGTTAAATTAAAATATCAAGTCCCAGAAGACTATATATCACTGGATATCCTTTATATTATTCAAAAACAAGTAAAACTAATAACTATTATTTAGGCATACATATATATTTGGGATTAAAATATTTTATTAAAAAGCCAATTTAATATCAATTTAAAAATTCAGGATAAGGTCATTGGGGTTGAGGAAAGGGAGTTGGAATAAGAGGATGATAGAAGTGGATTGAAGTTATTGTCAATATTCTAGTGCTCAGGTTCAATGGGTGAGTGAGCTAGTGTTCATTATGTAATTAAAAGCATATTGTTAACTACTTAATAATTGTGTGATTATTATGAAAATTAAATAAAAGAAGTTAATGCCTGGCCGGTGTGGCTCAGGGGTTGAGCATCGACCTATGATCCAGGAGATCATGGTTCGATTCTTGGTCAGGGCACATGCCTGGGTTGGGGGCTCAGGAGGCAGCTGATCAATGACTCTCCCTCATCACTGATGTTTCTATCCCTCTCTCTCCCTTCTTCTCTCTGAAATCAATAAAAAAATATTTTTAAAAAAGAGAACAAGTTAATGGATAAAAATAAAAGAGGACCATGCATGAATCAGTGAGACAATGTGTATGATCTGTGGCAGCGTGCATGGGTTATTCAGAATCCAGTTTTGTGCACTTCTCCGGGTGTTGGGAATACATGTACTTTTTATGCTCTTGTGGCTTTTTATTCTCTATACTAATTGAAAAACAAGCCCAAAATTACATATAATAAGATCTCAACTATCTCAAATATGTAAAAAATGCATAACAGGGACTGAAAAGAAAGTGTTGACATGTTAATAATAATTTCCTCTGTATAGTGAGATTTCATATAGCTCTTTAATGTTTCCTTATAGTTTTTTGAAAATCCCAGTGTCATAGAGTGAGATTATGTTGTTGTTGTTTTGTTACAAAAGTAACATGCTTATTATAAAAGTAAAAAAGGCCGTAGTATATGAAAGAACAAATGCAAATACGCTTCTCCCAGGCCCACTGCCCAGAGACAGGCATGATGATTTGTTTGCTCTGTACCTTCCAAGGACTTTTTCTGTTTATGTGCATGTGCTCTTGTGTGTGTTACAAAATGAAGCCATCCTGTATATACAGCAGGTCCTCTGCTAATGTTTTGTTCACTGTTGCTCTGTTAAAGTTGATGAGGGGGAAAATCAATCC